CCATCTTGAGCAGTCTGCCTCTCCCCTCCACTGCCATGCTGGATATCCCTTGACCGATTCAAAGGTGGGGAACCAGCATCTAGCTGACTGTCAATGTAGCCATCTAGTGATGGGACTTTCAGGTTAACCTGAAGGAGGAAAAACACAAAAGAAGCTCATCCTTGTTTTCTTGGATTCTTTCATAAACTTCTGAGAGAGATCCTTTGAAATCTTTTCACTTTTCTGAAAGATGGGGTCATAAAAATATCAGATTTCTATAAAATTATCTCTACTGGGTTAACTCCATTTAGCCCATGTATATAAAATTGCCTCATTAATATTCCAACTAACAGCATCCCGAGTCTTCCAAGAAGGTCTATCAGCTGCCAGTCAGGAGTGAAAGGTCATCCTGGAAGTGAGCAGGAAGTTCGAATCTTTTAAAAGCCATGGAAAGCTGGAATGATTGCTCTTTTACTGCTTGGTGATGTGTTCACTGTTGATGGGAGAGCTCCTCTGATCCCCATTTTGATTTTGGATTGTCACGGTCTTTGCTACTGGCCTGCTGTTCCTCTTCTTCCATTGTGGATTATATTTATTTTATGGAATCCCTGATGCTGTTGTTCCTCCATTTTGAACTATTTATTTGATCATTTATTGCTTCCTTTTTGCCCTTTTTGTTTCCTTGTTTTTGCTGGGGGGGGTAATTAAATCTCCTTCCCTCCCCCTTTCCTTTATTTTTGCCGTTGCACACTAGACTGCCTGCCTGACCTCGACCTGATAGATTGCTGACTGCACTGCTGGGCTTTGGAGCCACCAAAATGGTGGGCGGAATGAAACCTCCCAATCTCCATATACTATTCAGAGGTGTTGCCTTGTGGGGACTGGTTATATTTTCTGTCCATAGTGAGTGAGTGTGATTGTTTTAATTTTTATTCCCCCCGTATCTGTGGGGCAGAAAGGGGTGTAATGGTCTTACTTTTTCCTGTGGAATAGTTTTTTTTTATTTTAAATTTATTCTGTTTAAAGCCAAACTGAGGAGGAGGAAGAGGATGCTAATGTGGTAATAAATGTGGATGTTACTGTACTGCTACTCTTTGCCTGCATGGTCTGATGGTGGATTTTTATTTTTCACATATTATTGTTGTGATTCACTTTTCAAGTAGGTGAGTGTCTGCTGCCTTGTCCCCGTTTGCTTGTGTGTGCTTTTAGTACTTCTGAAGGTTCTGTAGGGTTTAACTTAGTCTAGTATCAAAAACCCAAATGACAGCAAATCCCAAAGAGCTAGTCCCTTTTGTTTTTCATCAGAGAACCAGTACCCGAAGGACCTGAAAACGAATGAGGTGACCCCCTGAAAGATCTTGAACAAAATCCAAACTTTTCCTTTTATTTGTTTGTTTGTTTAGAAATATTTTTATCCCACCTTAAAAAGGACCCAAGGTGGCTTCCACCATAGCGCCATCCATCACGGTCCCCTTCCCTCTCTGCATGTGAGGACAGGATGTGGCGTTCACTTGCCAGTTAGGGGGCTGGCCCCACTTTTGCAACAAGTGGACAGGTTTTCTGTCATTTGTAATGGGACAGCCAGAAGCTGCAGCTCCCAGGGCTACTCCAGCTCCCTTTTTAAACCTTTAATTCTTAACCCAGTTTACGCTTTCCATGTGTCTCCTTAAATGGCTGTTGTTCCATCCATTTTTCACTACGTGGCAGAAGAAACCAAAGGCAGGAAAGGTTTGTTTTCTGGATTATAACTCCCAGAATCCCACAACCTGCATCTCTCCAAATTTTAAACGGTATATCCTGAAGCATGTGCCTAGGGAGGAAACAAACCAGCAAATTTGATGCCGCCTCATCAAATCCATTGGTTGAAATAAGACTTAGACCCCTCAGTTTCTGCTAGATTATCATACTTTCAGAAACGGACGCATTAATTGTCAAATATGTAACAAACCCAGTCTCTTCTCTTCCTTTTTAGGAAGCAATGGAAGCTGTCGTAAAACTGGTGGCCTTCAGAGTGCTTGGATTGCAATAATGCTGGGGGCAGTGGGAGTTGTAGTCCAAATGTTCTGGACTGTGCTAGCTTAGCAAAGACTATCCTAAGGATCTAAATTTCAGCCTGATGTCATAATCCAGAGGACAGAGATAGGGAGAAGTTACTTTTATAAACTATAGGTCCTGTAACAAACCCAGTTTATTGCCAGTTACCAAATTGGTACAGTGGGGTCTCTACTTAAGAACTTAATCCGTATTGGAAGGTGGTTCTCAAATTGAAAAGTTCTTATGTTGAATCTGCATTTCCCATAGGAATGCATTGAAAACCATTTAATCCGTATCTGCTCTTTTCCGTCCATAGAAACTACAGTAATTTTTGCCTCTCAGCACCTGCTCTTTGAAGATAAAGAACTCCCAGTGAGGAAAGAGATATGTCACAATTAAGTCTTCTTTTCCTCCTCTTCACCAAAGTCCAGCCCTTCCATTAAGTCAGTAGTTCCCAACCTTGGGTCTTGAGGTGTTCTTGGACTAAGACTCCCAGAAGCCTTCAACACAAGGTGTGCTGCCCAGGATTTCTGGGATTTGCAGGCCAAGAACATCTAGAACACCTAAAGCTAGAAATCACTGCGTTAGCCAGACTAAGGCAGTCATCTCACCTAGCAGATTTGGGGAGTCAGGAAAGGGTAGCTAATGGTTATTCCTATGGTGTTTTTTTCTGCCAGGAATGGAGGGAGACACTACAGTGGGATACTTCTGTTTCATTTGTCTGACTATTTTGGCTGGCTTTAGGCAATTCCAAGCATGTGCAAAATGCATCCCATTCACCAATGTGTAAACAAGAAGCTTCTCCTCATTTGTGGTTAGGGAGCAAGATCCCACTTGAGGCCTCATTTAAGGAAAAATAGATTGATCTTAAGGGTGCTTCCAGACAAGTTTTTTTTCCCTACCCAGGACATGACAGGTTGGCACGGCTGATGCCTGCAAGTCAAACAGGAGCTGTGCTGATCATTGTCAGGGTAAATGGCTGATTCAGGAGACTGGTAGGTTAGGAAGATCCAGCGAATGGAGTGCAATCCAAGCTTGCCAGTATTAAATGGTGCTATTTTTAAGGGGGGTGGAATCATTTGTTTAGCATTCAATCAGACGTGACTGAACCATCAGTACAAAATTTTAGGAACCTACTATTTCCTATGCACCTTTAGGCCAATGGCTGCTGAAGTACTTTGTATGTCCAGAATGGAGAAACATACTGTGAATTCTTTGTGTGTCTACTTGTAGTGGTAGAAAATAGCTGCATTTTGGACAACAATGCCTAGAATCCACCATTTGGCAGCTGTGCGATTCTGGGAGTTGTAGTCCAAAAGACACTCCCTATTTCTTCAGGACATTCCAGACTGTCTTTTTTTTCCTAATCCAAGGAATTCATAACATTCAGGGAATTTATAATACTGCAGTAGGGGGAAAGTGGTTGTTTGAAATGTGGTGCTGGAGAAGAGCTTTGCAGGTACTGTACCCTGGACTGCCAAAAAGACAAACAAATAGGTCCTAGATCAAATCAAGCCTGAACTATCTCTGGAGGCAAAAATGTTGAAACTGAGGCTGTCCTACTTTGGCCACATCGTGAAAAGGCAGGATCCTCTGGAAAAGATAATAATGCTGGAAAAGATGGAAGGCAGCAGGAAAAGAGGAAGTCCAAATAAGAGATGGACGGCTCCCTACAGGAAGCTATGTATGTAGTAGTAATCTGACCGTAGTTAAGTGCTGGCACTGGAATATCTTCCCCACTGGGCTCTTCAAGCAGAAGTTAGCCAGCCATTTGTTTGGGATGCTACAACTCTGGATGCCTGCACTGAGTAGCTGGTCAGACCCATCTACTGGATGGCATAAAAGATCCCTTCCAGTTGGAAGTATCCATCTGCTACCACGACTTGGAGCGATGCCTCTGAACTACAGAGAAGGTAAGTAGAATGTCTTGCAAAAGCCCTTTTCTTTCAAGGGACCAAACTGTACATAATGGATTGCCTATTTGTACTGTATTAGAAGTGAAAATCTGCTAGCCTCTTAAAGGCATGATTCAGGCAGACCTCCATGATTGAGCAATCAGACCCGCGAACAAAGCTTGGGTTTACCTCCCAATGAACAATCACAAAACAAAGCAGGCTAATTTGAAGTCTACATGAAGTATAAAAAGTTCCTGATGTGACAACCAGTCACTGCTGGAAATTAAGGAATTCCTTCTCCAAACAATGGGCTACTTCTAATGTGTAGGTTGGCCAAAAGACACACACACACATTAGTTTTCGGGGATGTCTACTGTTCTGAGTGGGATTTTCTGGGAGCTGCTGTTGAAAAATTAGCTCGTGGAAAACGCTGCTCCGCTCAAAAAGGAGGTGCTGAAACAGTGGCAAATATGGGTCCCCCTCCTTTCATCCCAAACCTAATTGAACTGGTTCTAAACTGGAGCTCAATAATAGAAAGTTCAGCAAGCCAGCAGCTGAATAATAGGCAACATGGTGCCCATCACTAAAAATGTTCATTAGCCCCAGACAACATGGTCATGGATGATGGGGTTTGTAGTCCAGACAGTTAAAGGGTCTGACTTTGGATAGATCAGTCTTCCCAAGGGAACATAAGAAATGAAACCAATTGGTATTACATTCCAAACCGAGGAACAGTACTGTATTACGCAGTTTCCCGATACCCAGTGGTGTGTAGCAGATAGAATGACGGACTAGGACACGTGAGATCTGGGTTCGAATTCCCATTCAGCCGTGGAAAACTGGGGCTGTGGGACTGATAAAACTACTCTTTAAATACCTCACTTACCTTGAAAGCCCTATTGGGGTCCCTATAGGTCGGTTCCAACTTGACTTGCATTTAAGAACAGCTATTTAGTTTTCTGCAGCAACCCGGGAGAGAGTAGTTACCCCGGATTAAGAAACGCGGCGTAGCTTGCCCAGGTGTGAGAGTGGCGGGAAGTCTCCCCCTCACCCCACCCCCACCCCCGGGGACCTCAGAGGCCGGTCTCTTACCTGTGTCAGACCGAAACTGCCGAAAGCCCTCGGCGCTCGACGAGGCGTTTTCCGTTCCCCGCGGGGAGAGATGAAACTGCCTGGCTGTTGTTTTCACCTCCCAGCTTTGGGAAAGAGCAGGCTCGGATGGCGGCGGCGGCCAATGGAAAATAGGAGTTTCCCCAAACGGTCCCCTCCCACCCCAAAGGATTTGGCCATACAAGGCGAAAGAATGCTGCGCGGCGAGGGTGGCAGCAGCCCAGCTGTGGGGCGCGGGGTTTGGGGGCTGTGAGAACGAGCCGAGGGGAGGAGAAGAGGGGATTCTGCCTTATATAGATGAAACGGTGCCGGGGGAGGGGGGGGGAAGCGCGCGGGAGCCCCGTCGCGGAGCATCCGAGAAGCCCGGCGGCGCGAGCAAGCAACACACCCAGCATCGGGGATGCTGAACACACGCCTTCCTTTATAAGGTTACAAGCCGGGCAAAGGACACGTGTGTCCGTCGGCTGCGGGCAAGCGTTTACACAAAGGCACACGGGGACAGGTTTAAAAAACAGCTCGCGGCGGGAGGGGAGGGAGGGGGTGCTTCCCCGGCATGGGCATAGCTGGCATTTTTTCCGATGCGCACTTTTCTCTTGCAGGATCAAAGTTCCGCGGCCGTTTCCTTGTACAGCAGAAACGCGGAGCGGCAGCCGCACGGAAAATTGTGTTTTCGGCAACTTTCGCAGATTTCACGCTGCGCCCCTCCTGGCAAACGGCGGTACTGCAGCTTCTTCTGCCCCGACCGCTCCTCTCGTAATAGAAGCGCGGGGAATCCTACTGGCTAACTATGCAGAAGTTGGGAGATCTAATGGTTTTGCAACCGTTTCCGAAGGAGTACTCTAACATAGCATTATTATTTTTTCAGTGTTAGGTTTTGGACTACATCTCGCAGAATCCCCCAGCCAGCAGCCGGAAGAAAGTAGCAATCAGAAAATAAGCAGTTTCCAAATTTTGAGGGGGGGAAACATTTAGGACAGAACAGTTAAAACAATTTCACAACTTATTTATTTCATACCAGTTAGCCAGGACTAGGGAGCTGCCTTGTATCCGTTTAAGGAGGAAGGCAGGGTAGAAATAAGTTAAAACACAAAACAACAACAACAACAACAACAACAACAACAACAACAACAACAACAACAACAACAACAACAACAACAACAGGCACAGTCAATCAAAGCTATAAAAGCTTTGACTGGTACTATGTAATAGATACAAGTTTTAACCAAAAGCTTAAATACTGGTTAAATATTGGAGCAGTATGTATGCAATTCCTTATATTACAGTTTTTTGTAACTCTGCTGGTGTTATTCCCGAGATCCACAAGTGCTTATAGTACTGTGTTACATTTCTTGATATTGTTCCCAAAACCCCAGTGACTACGGGAACCACTGAAGTGTGCTTCATCCACAAGAGATGTTTCAATTGTCAGGTCTCTATTTTGTTAGTTTTTCCAATTCTTTATTTTCAACTCTGACACCCCCCTGGAATTGCAATGTCAGTGATCCAGACCTTCGTTCTATTACTGCTATGTCTGGTGTGTTATGTTCAAGGTGTCTGTCAGTTTGGATCCAGAAATCCCACACGAGCTTGACTTCCTCATTTTCTGACACCTTCTCTATCTGTTCCCATGGGTTTTTGGAGGCTGGCAAGTTTTATTTATTTTGCATAATGACTAGTGCACTAATTTTGCCACTTTATCCCGTCCAATTTGAGATGTGACACCATTTCATATATTTTTTTCACAGTGCTGTTAGCACTAATTCTTTGGATCTTAGCTTTCATCACGTTGGTTTGAAGTGCTTGTTGTTGTGCAGCAAAAATCAAGCCTTCGGTTTCTTTCTTAAGGGTCCCCAGCTTTAGCCATGCCCATGTTGAATTATGATCATGCTTTCCATCAATATTTCTCAGGTGTTATCCATGTAGTAGTTTATTTTTCCAGCTGTTTAATTTATTTTCAAATTGTTGTTTCTTATACTGAGCCTTTGTTTATGTTGGTTTCCAAATATTTTCCATTTTCATTGCCTTAAATAATTTTTCTCTGCTTGTACTGATATAATAATTTACGCTTCTTTTTTTCCTCCTCTACTACCTGCTGTTTTTGCAGTGATTCATGACCTCTGAATTTTCATGATAAAGATAATCTGTCCACATCACTTTTTTTTAATGTAGTGTGTGATGCATGTTCATTAGTTTCCATGTTTTTTGATCCAATTCTTCTAATTTGTTTTGA